CATTCTTCATCTAACAAGTGAATGTAATTTAAGAGTCTTCAATCTTTCTTCATAAGGAAGATTTCTAATGCTATGTATTAATTTAGTCATTCTACGCTGAATGTTTTCTAACGAATTTATGTCCATTCTGTAATATGGAGACCAGAACTGAGCTGCATAATCTAGGTGAGGCCTTACTAATGATGTATAAAGCTGCAGTATAACCTCTGGACTTCTGTTGCTTACACTTCTTGATATAAATTCCAATAATCTATTTGCCTTATTTCGTATGCTTAGGCATTGCTGTCTTGGTTTAAGGTTGCTGCTCACCATAACCCCCAAGTCCTATTCGCAATCTGTATGGCTAAGTTCTACATCATTTAACTTATAAGTGCTAGGGTTATGGACACTCCCAAGCTTCAGAACCTTGCATTTATCTACATTGAACTGCATCTGCCACTTTTCTGACCATGTACAGTGGTCCCTCGTTTATCGTATTTAATCTGTTCCTGGAGGTGCTACTATTATCGAAATCTATGATTTTCGAATCAATTTTCCCCATAATAAATAATGTAAATACAATTAATCCATTTCTGACACCCAGAAGTATTAAAACAAAAAAATTTTTTACATGAAATATAGATGTAGTACATAAACAATACAATGGGACATGAATGAAACATTAACAGCATAACACTTACCTTTATTGGTGATTCTTCTTAGTGTATGGAAGACTGGAGGAGGAGAGAGATTGGATTATTTACAGTTTGGAAGGGGAATCCCCTTCCATCAACACCTCAGGTACCATTAAAATGGTATAAAATACCGACAGGTTGTTAGGTAAGACACATATGCAACAGTTAGGTATCTTTATTTCGAAACGTTTCGCCTACACAGTAGGCTACTGTGTAGGCGAAACATTTCGAAATAAAGATACCTAACTGTTGCATATGTGTCTTACCTAACAACCTGTCGGTATTTTATACCATTTTAATGTTCAATCTGTCAGACACAGCAACACAAGGGTATCTTGGTACAGACCTACAATCAACTTCGACAACCTCTACTAGTGAGAACGGCTGGATTTGAGAGGGACCTGACCTCCCAACATCTGAGTTCTTACCTCTTCTAGTGACCTACGTCTCACCTCTTGGCGCTATATAAGGCTCCATCCTGTCACTTCATCTCCATATTGTTTCATTCTATGGAACAATGCTCTTCTCCAGACTGAGGGACTGACCACCTCAAAACTTTAAGGGTGATGGACTGATTACATCGTCTTCAAGTATCTTCTGCTTCTATCAACTTTTCTGTACTCGACTGAAGAAGCCTACTGTGTAGGCGAAACGTTTCGAAATAAAGATACCTAACTGTTGCATATGTGTCTTACCTAACAACCTCAGGTACCAATTGCTTTTCTGGGGTTACTTCTCTTCTCTGCCACTAGGACCAGCTTGAGAGTCACTGGAGTCCTGTCTCGCAAAATAACTGTCCAGAGAGCTCTGTTTCTGGCGTCTCTTTAACACTTCCCTAAAATGGGCCAAGACTTTGTCACTGTACATGTTGCCAACATGGCTTGCAACAGCCTTGTCAGGGTGATGTTTCTCCATAAATCTTTCCATCTTACCCCACATTTCAAAAATCTCCTTAATTTCTGACGAAGGCACCTTCTTCCATCTGTCTTCTTCCTCTGCAGCAAGATTCTGAGCTGCGATCTGTTGCTCTTCCTGCTGAAGCTCTTGCAGCTCCTCAGTGGTGAGCTCTTCATTGTGGTCTTTCACCAATTCTTCCACATCCTCCAAACTCACATCCAACCCCATGGAACTCCCCAGTGCCACAATAGATTTAACAACAGACATAGGCTCATCAGGGTCAGCCCCAAACCCTTCAAAATCCCTGTTGTTGACACAATCTGGCCACAGTTTTCTCCAAGCAGAGTTCAAAGTCCTGGTAGTCACTCCCTCCCAAGCCATACCTATAAGGGTTATGCAATGGAGGATGCTGAAGTGTTCTCTCCAAAAATCTCTTAGGGTCAAGTGAGTGTTTGAGGTCACATTCAAGCACCTTTGAAACATTGCTTTGGTGTAGAGCTTTTTAAAGTTTGCAATGACCTGTTGGCTCATGGGCTGGAGGAGAGGAGTGGTATTCGGGGGCAAGAACTTTACTGTGATGAACCCAAACTCCTCGAAAATTTGGTCATCCAAGTTTGGAGGATGAGCAGGTGCATTGTCCATTACTAGGAGGCACTTGAGATCCAATTTCTTTTCCAGGAGGTAATTCTTCACACTAGGGCCAAACACTTGAACCACTCGACAAAAATTTCCAAACCTCACACAATTTACTCGTCATAACATTGTTTTTCCTGAACACACTGGGATTTTCAGAATGGTACACTAGTAATGGCTTCACTTTGAAATCCCCACTAGCATTAGCACAGAACATGAATGTCAGCCTGTCTTTCATAGGCTTGTGTCTTGGCAGTGCCTTTTCTTCCTGTGTAATGTAGGTCCTCTTTGGCATTTTCTTCCAAAAGAGGCTTGTTTCATCACAATTGAACACTTGTTCAGGTTTCAGTCCTTCAGCCTCTATGTACTCCTTGAATTCATGCACATATTTTTCAGCCGCTTTGTGGTCCGAACTGCCGGCCTCACCATGCCGTACCACACTGTGTATGCTCCTGGCCCTCCCTCTTCACTGGCTGATCCTAATCACTCCCTGCTCCATGAGCTTTATCATACCTTTATCATAGCTTTAAGAAGCTATACATGGTGTTAGGAGGTAAGAACTTCATTCACTGTTACAAAACTGAATTCCTTAGACAGTTGGTCTTCTAAGTCTGGAGGATGAGCAGGAGCATTGTCCATTAACAGGAGGCACTGGAGTGGCAATTTCTTATCCAGGAGGTATTTCTTCACACTTGGGCCAGACACTTCATTGAACCATTCCAGGAAAATTTCTCTAGTAACCCATACTCTACTTTTAGCTTTCCACATCACACAGAATTTACTCTTGACAACACTGTTTTTCTTGAACACACTGGGGTTTTCAGAGTGATACACCAGTAAAGGCTTCACTTTGAAAGCCCCACTAGCATTACCACACAACAAGAGAGTTAGCCTGTCTTTCATAGGCTTGTGTCCTGGGAGTGCCTTTTCCTCCTGCGTAATATAAGTCCTCTTTGGCATTTTCTTCCAAAAGAGGCCTGTTTCATAACAGTTGAACATTTGTTGGGGTTGGAATTTTTCAGCCTCTACATAACACTTGAATTCCCGCACAAGTTTTTCAACCGCTTGTTTTTCTGAACTAGCGCCCTCACCTTGCCTTACAACACTGTGTATGCCACTTTGCTTCTTGAATTTTTCGAACCAGCCTTTGCTGGCCTTAAATTCACCTACTTCAGCACTTGTTTCAGGCAGTTTCTTTATGAGATCATCATGCAACTGCCTTGCCTTTTCACAAATTATAGACTGCACAACACTATCTCCTGCCATCTCTTTCTCTCTGATCCACACCAGCAACAATTTCTCCACTTCTTCACTTGTTTAGGATCTGTTTGGTTATAGCATTCACCCCTTTCGCAACATCAGCTTCCATGATTTCTTTTCTCTTCGTCACAGTGGAGCTGATTGTTGATGGCGACTTCTCGTACATCCTTCCAAGTTCAGCAGTGCGTATGCCACTATAATATTTTCTTAGGATTTCTTTTTTCATTTCTATGGTGTTCCTCACTTTCTTTACCAAAGCACTGGCACTAGGAGCTTTCTTTGGGGCCATGGTCAGTTATTTAGCAGTCACACTCAATAAATAAGTGGCAGAAACAATGGATTATTACGAAATGTTTCGTTTGACCTGGCAGGATATGTTCACTCACCGAGAAACAACGCTACACTAGCTGAGAATACGTATGGGAGGCGGCTTTGTCTGCGCCCTGGAGACTGGACACGTTCCATATGATTGACAAAAACGGAGGTAATCGACAAAAACGGAACAAAAAAATGTACCAAAAAAAGTCTACCAAAACCGAAATTGGCAATAATGGAGATTGACAAAAACAGAGGGTCCACTGTAATTGGATTTTCATTATTTCTTATGGGAAAAATGGTTCTGCCATTCATGAATTTTGCCATTCAGCAGACTCTCTGGAATAGATTAATCAAGAAACTAGGGGGTCCACTTTACACTACTATATAAACATTTAAAAATATACTACAAATGTTATAAATGGTGCAGAGGCGACAATAAAACAATATCAAAGATAGTTGACTCAAACCCACTGCCATTATAGTGTGCTCCTCACTTAGCGACAAATTCATTTACCAACGTAGTCTTAGGAATGGAACTCCATCGTTAAATGAGAAGAGGCTGTATTGTAGAGTGCATTAGCATTTTTGAATAAATCCCATAAAGTTCAGGTTTTGAGGGGATGGAACAGAGGGACAGTAATTATAATAAGCAGGATATTTATTAATGTGAAAATGTAAGATACAAATTCATAAAATTATACATATATGTTCATAGTAAACTTATGTGTGATGTTGTGCTGTTGCTAAGATTAGGTGTGTGAATGTTTATATAAAATAAAATGACATGCTTAGAATATAGCATTCAGCTTTATAAAAGAAAACTTTCAAACCTGTTTTAATAAGAATGTGAACATTATAAGTGTAAGGTGTTCATACTGAGTGAAAATTAAATAATGTACAGTAGTAGCAGCCACTGAGGTGCCTGCATGTCAAAGAAAAGTCTTTGTAGAGAGACATCCACCAGAGCTACAAGAAATAAATATCTAAAGGAAATCTTAATACTCCACAGACATTCAAAGAGATTAACCGTATATGCTACTCTAAGAAAAAATAAGTACAGATTTTCTTGATGTTGGGGAATAACAGTACAGGAGGGCTTTTGTTGAATGCTGTTTGAAGAGAGTCAAAGGTACACTTAATTTAATTAACAAATAATATCTCATTTCTTTTTTAGCTTTAGAAGTTTGACTTTTTTTTTTTTGTTATTCTTTAAACCAGAGTGACAGTTCTTTAAGTTCTGAAGTAGAAGCCACTATAGAGGAAATATTTGGAGTCAAACCCTCAATTGAAGCACAAAGAGAACATCCTCCTGATCTAGAAGCTGACTCAGGAATTGTGGACATCTGTTTTCATCCAAGTGTTGAATTACTGTCTACCGCAACCATGGATGGAGAGGTCATGATGTAAGCATCTTGCATCTTTTTTTTTTTTTTTTAATTTGTTTCTCGGTGTAGAACTTCAGGCAAGCATAGTAATGAAATCTCTATGCATAAATGGATTCTACCAGTTGTTTGATCTGATGGGTATTGCCTCCTTGGTCTGGTCTTAGACTAGGCTTCTTGGTTGCTGGCCTGATCAGTCAAGTTGTTGGTGCTTGCAGCACAATCCATGTTAGGTGCTACAGCCCAGTAGATCATGAATGGGATTCTGGCACAAACCATACTTAAAAATATAAAAATAAATTGGCAGGAAGACCATTAGTGATTTTTACAGGTGATGTCAGTATTTTATCGTAATTGTACTGTTTTACACATTTAATTGTGGGAAGTACAATGCCTGCGCTTTAAAGGAGGGGTTTGGGATATTGACAGTTTGGAGGGATATGTTATGTATCTTGATACATATATACAGTGGACCCCCGGTTAACGATATTTTTTCACTCCAGAAGTATATTCAGGTGCCAGTACTGACCGAATTTGTTCCCATAAGGAATATTGTGAAGTAGATTAGTCCATTTCAGACCCCCAAACATACACGTACAAACGCACTTACATAAATACACTTACATAATTGGTCGCATTCGGAGGTGATCGTTATGCGGGGGTCCACTGTACTTCTAAACTGTTGTATTCTGAGCACCTCTGCAAAAACAGTGATTATGTGTGAGTGAGGTGAAAGTGTTGAATGATGATGAAAGTATTTTCTTTTTGGGGATTTTCTTTCTTTTTGGGTCACCCTGCCTCGGTGGGAGACAGCCGACTTGTTAAAAAAAAAAATTATTGATTTAAGTTAAAAAATTTAGATCAAAAGTTGAGGATACTTGAATTATAGCTCTGTAATAATGTGAACTCATATAATATCAGGCAGGGCTTTCTCTTGGCTCATGACATAACCCTCTTCACTTTGGGGTTAGATTGACAAAAATCAATGTTTATTGTGAATTAAATAAAGTAACGAATATTGTTTTACAGTGGTACCCCAAGTTTTGGCCATATTTCGTTCCAGAAGGCTGTTTGAGTGCCATTACCGAACGAATTTATTCCCATGAGGAATAATGTAAATTAGATTAGTCCATTTCAGGCCCTCAAAAATATACTTACAAAAGCACTTGCAATAATACACTTACATAATTGTTCGAGTTGGGAGCTGTTCGGAACTCGGGATACCACTGTATTAGGAAAAGTATTTAATGGAGTTCTGCATCTCTACTGTATATGACACTGCAAGAGAAACAAATGAAAACTCTATTTTAATTTGTACATTGCATTGGTTCTCCAGTCCTCAAACGTTCAGTTATCTTGTCTCACCTCATTTTCTTATTCCACACAGATATCGGTATAGCCAAGATAGTGTTGAAGAAGTGGCTCGATTGTCCCATCACAAGAAGGCTTGTCGGGCTGTTTGCTACAATGATGATGGCACTGTTCTCTATACCATCAGTAAAGATAAATCTCTGGCTGTCATCGACACCCAAAATTCTGCTATCAGACAGCACATAAAAGATGCCCATGAATCCTCTGTATTCAGTTTCCTCCCAATAGATGAATTTATGTGTGCATCTGGGGATGACGATGGGACAGTAAAAATTTGGGATTTGCGCAAGAAGAAACCTATATTTGATTTTAAGTGTGGAGAACAAACAGTGACATCACTAATTACAGACGAACAGAATAAGTTTCTAGTTGCATCAGTGAATGATGGATCCATTGCAGGATTCAATATCCGTGGAAAGGCATTAGAGACTCAGGTACTTAATACTGTACTGTGTTTTATATAATGTATTTGTATTACATACAGCTAAAGATTTACAAAAACATTTAGGATGCTTAGATGCATAGGAGATGAACTTATTCAGTATCTTGGGTTATAAAGAACTAGTACTGTAAACTGAGAAATATGTTGGATTAGGCTCTAACTGTAGAATACCTGGAATGTATTCCAAGGGTCAACACCTTTGTGGTCCAGTCCTAGACCAGGCCTCCCACTGGATATCCTGATCAACCAGGTTGTTGGTGCTAACTACACAAAGTCTAACATAAGTATCACAGCACAGCTGATCAGTTGCTGATTTAAAAATTTATCCAGTTCCTTGAAGACAGCCAGGGTTCTCTTGGTAATCCCCCTTATGTATGAAGGGAGGATGTTGAAAAGTCTTGGTTTCTTTACTTATCAAGTTTTCCCTTAGTGTTCTCATTGCACCCTTTTGTTTCATTGGGAGTATTTTGTATCATCTGCCAATTTGTGTGAGCAGATTTTGAGCCAGTCCCTCTAGAATTTTCCACTTGTAGATTATATTGTACATCTTTTGCCTGCCTTCCAAGGAGTACAGATCAAGGGGCTTCAAACATTCCATGTAATTTAGGTGCTTAGTTGAATTTATGTGAGCAGTGAAGGTTCTTTGCACATAATTTATGTGAGCAGTGAAGGTTCTTTGCACATAATTTATGTGAGCAGTGAAGGTTCTTTGCACATAATTTATGTGAGCAGTGAAGGTTCTTTGCACATAATTTATGTGAGCAGTGAAGGTTCTTTGCACATAATTTATGTGAGCAGTGAAGGTTCTTTGCACATTCTCCAGGTTTGCAGTTTTGCATGCTTTGAATGGAGCTGTTAGAGCACAGTATTTCTTAGCCTCAAGAGAACAAGTTACTTAAAGAGTATCATGAAGAACAAAAAGGCACAATACTGTGACTGGAACAATGCACTAATAACCCACACATAGGAGAGAGGAGCTTATGACAATGTTTCATTCCAACTTGGACCACTGACAAAGTCACACTAACAGAAGAGGAGGCAGTACATACATATAGACCAGCTGACAGGGACGGGACAAAAGAGGTAGTAGTAAAGGAAGTAGAGAGAGAGGTAGTAGTAGTGGAGTCAGTCAAAGGCTGAGAAAGAGGAGCACTGCAGGAGAGCTAAGGGTCCACCAGGGGTAAGACCAAAAACACAGCTGGGGGGGGGGGGGGGGAGAATAAAGGACCAAACACAAACACCCAAGGCAGAAGAAAAAACCTAAACAAGAAAAAGGAGAAAAAGAAAGGGGAAGAGGTAGAAAGAGGAGAGAAAAGAATCAGGTTAGGTCACGGGTGTTCTGAAGTCTGGAGCATTTTACAATGTAATGGGAAAGGAAGGCATCTACAGAGACCAAGCCAGAATTAAGATTCATACAAGGAAAATTGTGTATAAGGGAGGATTCAACCAGACAGCAACTGTGAGAGTTAGAAGTAGGGTGGACAGTTTTAGCAGAAAACCAGTCAATAAGATGACTGTGATCTCTGACAAGACAGAAAAGAGCATTGTTGGTGTTGGCAAGCCTAACACTATTTTGTGATCATAGAGTCTATCAGTAAAAGAGTGGCCAGTTTCTCCAAAGTACTGAAGAGGACAAGAGGAACATGAAATAAAGTAGACACCAGGAGCATCTATAGCAGAAGGAGAGATATGAATTACATTGGTGCGAAGAGTGTTAGTCTGGTGCAAAGTAAGTTTGATCTCTAAGGAACAGAGAGAGTTGTTGAGATTAGAAAGACTGGAAATATAGGGAAGGCAGAAAACAGGAGATTTCCCAGGAGTAGAGAGTTTGGGAGAGAAGAAAGTCCATTTAGCATGTGAGAAGGTAGAGTTTATGAAATGGGAACGGTAGCCAAGACGAGAGAATGAATTATGGAAAGTGAAAATTTCCAATTCAAGGAACTGAGGGTCACAACTGCAGAGAAACTGAGGGTTACAACTACAGAGAGAATGGAGAAAGAAAGAAATAAGAAAACTTTTCTTGGCAGAGGAAGCATGATAAGAAAAGTAGTGAATGTACATGCCACTCTGCATAGGTTTGCAATACACAGTAAAAGCAGAACCTATATCTGAGCAGTGGACATGTACATCAAAGAAAGGAAGTACACTGGACCCCTGGTTATCGGCCGCTTCTGTTATTGGCCAACTCGGTCATCGGCCATTTTTTCGGCACCTGGTTATTGGTCATTAATTCGGTGATCAGCCGTTTGGGATGCATCCGTCCTCCAGCTGGGGCCGCTTGCTCGTCAGTTTGGCTGTGTCTCTCGGTGGCTGAGGAAGCTTCTGCTCATACATCCAAACATTTCGCTTATTTACCATTGTAGTTTGTGTTATTTTTCAGTGCAATTGTGAAATAAATAACCATGGCTCCAAAGAAAATTCCTGTGATAAAGAAAATAAGAAACACCATGGAATTTAGGCATGAAGTGATTGAAAAATATGAGAGTGGTATGAGGGTGCTGGAACTTGCCAGGATGTACAGCAAGAATAAATCAACAATTACCTCCATCCAGGCAAAGAAAGAACAAATCAATGATGCTAATGTTGCAAAAGGAGTAACTTTTCTAAATAAACAAAGGCCACCAATATTGGAAGAGATGGAAAAATTATTATTGTGGATTAAGGAAAAAGAATTAATGGGAGACGGTGTTGTGGAGTCGAATATTTGTGAGAAGGCAAGGCAGTTGCATGAGGATCTTGCAAAGAAAATGCCTGGAACAAGTGCTGCAGTTTGTGAATTTTGGGCCAGCAAATTCAAATTCAAATTCAAATTCGAAGTTTATTCTCTATAAGGATTACAATGCTGAGTTTACAGAATTTGGTTATTGTGTGGTTTACATGTAGTAAAATAATAATTACAGAGTGTACCACTAGAACACCTAGCATGGCTAGGCATTTTGGGCAGACTTAGATTAAATCTTAAGTTTAAAATATTACAAAATTATGAGGTAAGTTGGTATTATGGCTAAGTGACTAAATACTAGTTTGTGAGTTTAGCAATGTGAATGCTTTTGTTTTGGCACTATACATAGTTTCAGTATTGGAGTATCACAGGCCAAAGTATGACTAGTTAAGATTCATTATTTTGAGATTGAGATTGATATTTCTGTTTATGGTCAAATGGGTGAGCGAGTGTAAGTGTGAACCACCAGGTGGTATTTGTGGTTTGATAGATTTAAGAAGTGTAGTGGCATACGCAGTGTTGTAAGGCATGGTGAGGCTGCACGTTCTGACAAATGTGCGGCTGAAAAGTATGTTAACGAATTCCAGGACTATGTAAAGGCTGAAGGATTTGAACCCCAACAAATGTTCAGTTGTGACGAAACAGGCCTATTTTGGAAGAAAATGCCAAACAGGACCTACAATACCCAGGAGGAAAAGGCACTGCCAGGAGACAAGCCTATGAAAGACAGGCTTACTCTTTTGTTGTGTGGTAATGCTAGTGGAGATTTCAAAGTGAAGCCTTTACTAGTGTATCACTCAGAAAATCCCAGAGTGTTCAAGAAAAACAGTCATGAAGAATAGATTGTGTGTGATGTGGAAAGCTAATCATAAGGCATGGGTCACAAGGCAAATTTTCAATGATTGGTTTAATGATGTGTTTGGCCCAAATGTGAAAAAATACCTCCTGGAAAAGAAATTGCCACTCTAGTGCCTCCTGTTACTGGACAATGCTCCTGCACATCCTTCAGACTTGCAAGACCAAGTGTTTAGGGACTTAAGTTTCATCACAGTGAAGTTTTTGCCTCCTAACATCACTCCTCTCCTCTAGCCCATGGACCAGCAGGTCATTTCTAACTTCAAAAAACTCTACACAAAAGCAGTGTTTCAAAAGTGCTTTGAAGTGACCTCAGACACTCAGTTGACCCTAAGGCTAGTTATGGAGGAATAACTTCACTATCCTCCACTGATAAACCTTATAGGTAAGGCTTGGGAGGGAATGACTTCCAGGACTTCGAACTCTGTTTGGAGAAAACTGTGGCCAGATTGTGTCCTAGAGAATGATTTTGAAGGGTTTGAGGCTGACCCTGACCCTGCCAACCCTGTGGATTCTATTGTGGCACTGGGGAAGTCACTGGGGTTGGAGGTGAGTGGCAAGGACCACAGGGAAGAGCTAACCACTGAAGAGCTGCAATAACTTCAACTTGAACAGCAACAGACTGCAGCTGAGGAATTTGCTTCAGAAGAGGAGGAAGAGGGAGTGAAGGAGTGCCTTCTTCATTGATTATGATCATTTGTGCAAAGTGGAATGAAGTGCAAAGATTTGTCGAGAAGTACCACCCTGACAAAGCTGAAACAAGCCATATCTGCAACATGTTTAGTGACAAAATCCTGTCCCACTTCAGGGAAATCTTAAAGAGATGCCAGAATTGGAGCACTTTGGACAGTTATTTTGTGAGACAGGGTCCAGTGACTCTCAAGCTGGTCCTAGTGGCATTAACCCTTTCAGGGTCGAGAGGCTCTCTCCTAAACTTATTCTCAGGGTCGAAAATTTTTGGGGAATTTTTTTTTTTATGAAAAGATAGAAAATCTTTTCTTGATCATAATGACACCAAAAGTATGAAATTTGATGGAAAACTTACGGAATTATGCTCTCACGAAGTTAGTGGTCTCGACGATGTTTACGCCCAATTTGAGCCCTATTTTCGGCCAATTCCAGTGTACTAATCGACAAAAATTATAACTATTTCACTAGAACTCCATTTTTCCTATCGAATGAGTACAAGAAACCACACATTTACTGATTTCAACTATCCAATAAAGTGGTCAGAAATTAGCTATTTTGCCAATTTCACACAAATTTCAAAAGATGCCAATTTCCAAACAGGGTCCAGAATAAACAAGACAGACATTCCTGGCACTAAAATAACATTTCCTCTGTTCATTAGTCACGTCTCCAGGCCCCTCTTACATTTCTTTTGCTTTCCACTTTGAATTTTTATTCTCACAAAA